CCGCCGCCCCGGATGGGCCAGGTGAGGCGAGGGATGGGTGGGGAGGTGCGTTAATCCCGGGGAGCCCTGCAATGGGGGCAAGAAACCCTGCGGAGTGTGGGGCGGGGGGGAGAGGAGCGTGTGAGGCCCAGATAAAGGGGGGCCCGTGCAGAGGCGCGGTCGGGAGGGTCGTGGGACGCTGTGGAGGGGGGGGAGAGTGGTGCCAAGCTGTGCTCAGGGGACCAGGAGCCATGTAAGGGGGGTGCGTCGGCGTGGGCAAGGCTGGGGAGGGTGTGCGGCCAGGTAGGGTGGCACAAAGAGCCCTGTGAGGGTGTGGAGGGGGATCAGAGTGGGCCTGGGCATCTGTGAGGGCGTTTTGAGGGTGTTGTGGGATTGGAGTCATACTGAAGGGTGCAAGCGGACCCCTGGGTGAAGCAGCTGGGTGCTGTCGGCACCCTTGGCATCACTAGGGACTCCCTGAGGGTGTCATCGTGTGTGGAGCTTTGGCTGGGTTTTTGGACCTCCCCACATCTCCTGTGCTTGGTGGTGTCCTTCTGTCTGTGCTCCAGTTTGTCATACTGGGCAGCCCCCAACAGCCCCACGGCTGCTCTGATCCCACCGGACACTTGGGTCCTTCCTGCCTCGGGGTTGTCCCACCCCGGGAGCGACACTGACCCCATTGCTGGTGGTTGCCTCTGCCGCGGCTCCTTGTCGCCATCTCTGCACCCCTCGATGGGGAGGTTTCTGGAGAGATCAAAAGCGCCACATCATCTCACCGCTGCCTGTGGGAGATGGCATCTCAACTGTCACTGCACTGCCTCCCGAGGTGAGGAGGAGGAAGGGTGAATCGGGGGCTGCTGCAAAGGTGGATAATGGAGCTGAGCAAGAGACGGCAGCCGTGGAGGTTCACGGTGGATATTGGGAGAAATTTCCTCACCCAGCGGTGAGGAAAAAGCCATCAGTGACCTGGGTTGATGCTGGCAATGGACTTCCGTCGGGAGCAGGGACCCCCTGAGGTGCTGTGTGCTCTACGATGACATCATGGACAGCCCCGGGGCTGTGGTGGTGCCCCAGTTTTGGATGGCTCCAAGGTTTGCACGTCATTGTCAAGACCCAGGATCTTCTGGTTTCTTCATTCTCTGCCAGAGCATGTTAGAAGCCCACCTCACTAATGAGCCACCATATTTTTGGCGCGTGTGGGCTGGCGAGGGGACTCTCTAGTGACAAATGGTGGTGACCAGGGTTTGGGGTGACCCCGGGTCTCCCCTGACACTCCCCTCCCCGCAGTGGTCGACTGCCCTATCTGCAAACACCAGTGTCACCTGAAGGATGTCGTGGAGAATTACTTCCTGAGGGACAGTGGGGCCGAGGCGGCTGCCACCAGCCAGGGGTCGAGTCAGGTAACACATCATTGATGCTTAATTAACGGTTAATGAGAATGAAGCCAGCTCCCCGCTGGCTGGGCAATGCCAGTGTCCCCACGCCATGTCTCTTGTCTGCCAGTGCTGTACCAGCTGCGAGGATAACGCGCTGGCCACCAGCTACTGTGTGGAGTGCTCAGAGCCGCTCTGCGAGACCTGCGTGGAAGCCCACCAGCGGGTCAAGTACACCAAGGACCACACGGTCCGGGCCACAGGTTCGTCCTTGTCACTGCGCCGTCACCATCCTTGTCACCGTGCCGTCTCTGCCCTTTCAGAGGCGGTGACCTTGTGGCCAGCGCATCTCTAGGCGTGTCTGGGGGTGCCGCCATGGTGGCCATGACTGTCCCACAGGGACACCTCTATGCCAGCGGGTCCTGCTGGGTGCTGGTGATGTCATGTTGACATCATGATGATGTCACACCATGTTTCCTGCAGGCAGTGGCAAGGCAAAGGAGGGGGAGCGTGCCGTGTACTGCTCCGTGCATAAGCATGAGCCCCTGGTGCTCTTCTGCAACACGTGTGACACACTGACCTGCCGTGACTGCCAGCTCAACGCGCACAAGGACCACCAGTGAGTGGGCATCGGCAGTAACTAATTTAATAAAAATTGATTTTTCATGGCTAATGAAAGTCATTTGGGGCAAGTCAGATAACTAAACAAATTTATTTATCGACTGAAAAGGTCGTCTGTGCACCTTATCAGTTAGGCCCTGCAGCACCTTAAATGTGTTTTTTAATTAATATCTGAGAAGGTAAATAACTAATTAAACTGATTAATTAGTTTTGGAAGAAGAACTGAAGTTAGCCTGCAGGCTAATTATGCTCATCAATTAGTTATCTATTTTAAAAATGAAGCACATTAGTTCTTAGTTGTCCAAGTACTGAAGGCATTGCCCAAGTAGAGTGTTAATTTTGGTTAATTTTTGTTTTTAACCAAGTATAGGTATGTTTTCTGATTCGTTAACTTTGTTAATTAGTGGACTGGTTGGTCTGAGGTCCTTAAATGCCTTTTAGATTTTAAGGAATTGGAAAGATCCAATTTCCTAGTCATGGAAAATCAGTTTAATTACATTCTCAGTTATTTCCATTAGCCTGATTTTTTTTTAAACTGATTTTTTAATATTTTTTTTTAGTAGACTGTTTTTTGCTGTCAGACTAGTTAAACTTCCCTGTTGAATCGATAACTAATTTCATTCATTATCTGATTATCTGAGCAGGTATCTAGTTAGATTACTTACCTGATTGATTAATTATGCATCAAAAATGCTTTTAATATCAGCTCTGATTCAGTTAAAGTAAATAATTAAGTTAAAGTTTTGTGGCTGATGAGTTTGTTAGCTTGGCCAGCTCCTTAACCCAAATTAATTTGATCGTTAATGACTAACAAGTTAAGGAGGAAGTTCTCCAGTGGCTCCAGGAGACAGCTGAGGGGTGTCTCTGGGGGAGCTATTTTGGGGCCCGCCCGTGGGTTGCTGGTGGGGGGGGCTGCACCCATCGGAGTGTTCTGAGGCTTGCAGACCCCCAGCCCCATTGCGACCCTCTTTTCCCCGCTGCCGCTGCAGGTACCAGTTTCTGGAGGACGCAGTGAGGAACCAGCGCAAGATGCTGGCGACACTGGTGAAGCGCCTGGGGGACAAACACGCCAGCTTGCAGCGCTCCACCAAGGAAGTGCGCAGCTTGTATGTGCCCCACCTTCCCACCTGCCCCAGGGGGGAGTTATCTGCCCCCTTGGGGGGGTTGTCTGCCCCCGACGGGGGCATTTAGCGTGCTCACCCCTTCCCTTCTCTGCCGGCAGCATCCGCCAGGTGACGGATGTGCAGAAGCGGGTGCAGGTGGACGTAAAGATGGCCATCCTCCAGATCATGAAGGAGCTCAACAAGCGTGGCAAGGTGCTGGTGAGCGACGCTCAGGTGAGCCGGGTGGTGACGCAGTGCCAGCGTTTCCCCTGTCACTGTCCCTCTGCCCTGAGGTGGTGTTGTCCCCCTCCTCGCAGAAGGTGACGGAGGGGCAGCAGGAGAAGCTGGAGCGGCAGCACTGGGCCATGACCAAGCTGCAGCGGCACCAGGAGCACATCCTTCGCTTCGCCTCCTGGGCCCTGGAGAGCGACAATAGCACCGCTCTGCTGCTCTCCAAGAAGCTGGTGAGCTGCCAAGGGAAAAAATCCCCTCGCAGACCCCGCTAAAACCGGGCAGGGAACCTCCTGGGATGGGTGATTGGGGACCATTGGTTCCCCCATCGCTGTGACTCTGCTCTCTTGGACCGATGGGTGCCAGAGAGCAAAACCAAGCCCCAGGTTATGCTGCATCTCTCTCGGCCTGGGGTCTGGTTTCCTCTAGGTTCCCTGTTTTGGGGGGATGTGGGCTGAAGTGGGGTCAGAAGATGGTCTTCTGAGGGGTGGTTTGCCCCCAGCTCCCCCTCAGCCTCCCCAGGGTGCCCCCCATGTCCCTTGCTGCCTCTCTGCTCATGTGCCCAGGGTGCTGCAGTGGGGTCCTGAGGACAGCTGGGCCCTCTGGGGTTCCCCGTGCTGTAATGGGAGCCCCCCCAGCCAGAGGGTTTTCCACAGCAGGTTCCCTCAGAGTCCTTGTGACATGGCGGGTGCCACCAGGGTGCTGCATCAGGACCCCTTGGGGTCCGGCAGTGGGGTCCCATTGCTTTTCCCCATGGTGTTACAGGATCCCTGTAGCACGATGGCTGCCCCAGGGTGCTGCTACATATCCCCTCGGGGTCCCTGTGACGCAGTTGGGTGCATGAGGTTGCTGTCATGTGTCCCCTCAGGGTCACCATGATGTGATGGGTGCCCTTGGGGTGCTGCCACGTGTCTCCTTGGGGTCCCTATGGCGTAATGAGTGCTTCTGCGGTGCTGAAATGTGTCCCCTCAGGGTCACAATGATGTGACAACTGCCCCTGGGATACTGCCACATGTCCTTGTGGGGTCCCTGTTCAGTGACAGGTGTCCCCAGGGCGCTGCCACGTGTCCCCTTGGTGTCCTTGCAATGTGATAGGTGTCTCTGGGATGCTGCCATGTGTTCCCTTGGGCTCCCCATGTTGTGACATACACCCCTGGGACGCTGTTACATGCATCCCCTCGAGGTCCCCGCCTTGTGACGAGACCCCTGCCCTGCACCCTCCAGATCTACTTCCAGCTCCACCGCGCCCTCAAGATGATAGTGGACCCTGTGGAGCCGCAGGGTGACATGAAGTTCCAGTGGGACCTCAATGCCTGGACCAAGAGCGCCGAAAGCTTTGGTGAGCCCCTGGGGATGGGACACACCTGGAGACACCCGGCCTCCCCCCAACACCCCTCATCTCCCTTGCAGGCACCATCATCTCGGAGCGCAGCCTTCCCCCCCCCCCCCCCGCGGGCCCCCAGCCCCCATGCCCCCAGCCCTGCCGCGGGTGCCTCACAGGTACCTTCAGGGGGGTGGGGGTGCATTTTTTTGGGGGTCCTGCACCTGAGAGTGCCCCTCTAGTAATGGACCCCCCTGCCCCAATCTCTCTTCTCCAGGGGCCCCGGCAAGCCACGGTGGTGAGCAAAGGGCAATATGCCCCCGGCCCCCTCCTGCAGCCTCTGACGGGCCCCCAAATAGGGGCTGAGGAGGGGCAGGGGGCACCCGGTGGGCCCCAGAGG